TCGAACAGGAGGGTATTTAATATGATGACTATCAAGTGGTACGTACTCATTTTACCTAATTTTTGTTGTTGTTGTTGTTGTTATTGTAATGCTTTTATTTAATCTATATACTAATTGATTTATGTTCTTGTTATGCTATCGTAGGTTGGGGAGGATGTTGATATCTACAATCAAAGATATTATGTTGATCGATGACCGATTGATCTGGCTGTGTTACATGACCAAGATAATCATCTTTCAAGGGAGGTTTGGAACGACCACAAGGTACATAATATTTATCATCACTTATAATTTTTTATTTTGTGAACGTAATTTATTGGGTTGTAAAATAAATTTTTTAATTGTTAATTGTATGAATTATTTTCAATAATTTACTGGGGAAATCGGGTTCTAAGCGATTCTCGGATCCCGCTTTCTCTGTCAAGCAAGTTGTATTTCTAAGGAGATGTATACCTCTCCTAAGAGTCTTATGAGTGTACTTGTATTGCTTTAAATAATTGAAAACAACCAATAAGAAGTACAAAATAATATATTTGATTTTATGTGTATGTGTACAAAATTAATTTTATTTAAATTTTGAAAATGGTATTCATTATAGTTAATTATTTTAGTACGCTTAATATGTTTGTTTTTTAAATTATGTATATTTTTAAGAAAAAAAACCTTGATTTAATTAATTGATATTGTTTGTTATAATAGATTTATATATGTATAAATCATAAACGTATAGTGAAAGTTAAATTCTTCGCTAGGATGCATACCATATAGTCCGCTATAGGGGTACGACGAATGTGCTCGTATGGAACGACGTCATCTTGCCTTTTCTAAGAAGGATAAGATTGGATCCCATTAGACACTTTAATGGGACAAAGATCGACCACCAACTCATCACGACATTGGTGGAGAGACTGGCGAAAGGAGACACATTGCTTCAACTTTTGTGAAGGCGAGTGCATCATCACACTTAAGGATATTGCCATCCTAACCGATTTTCCCATCGATTGCGATGTTATTTGTGTGGACTCTACTCCACCAGCTAAAGTTTTTGTGAATATGAGCGGTTGCCAGCATTTCAAATGGAGCGTCACAGGGTTGGTACCGCCAGAAAAGGGAGACCACGATGCGGATGGACATCCACCATTTTCCAAGGGCCAAGTATCCATCACTTGGTTGACAGCGGAGATCAGGCGTAAGCACAACCCTGAGTTCGGAGGCCTTCCCCTCACAGAGGAAATTTCGGAGCGTGATAAAGAAATTTATGCACGTGTCTACATCCTAGGCATGATCTGAGGAGTTTTCTTCCCAAAAAAATCCAACAATTTAATTAGCAATTCATGGTTGAAGATCATCTTTGGTGATTGAGATGATATGGGGAACCTGAGCTTGGCATCTGGTTGCCTAGATCATCTCTACCGCTCCCACTGTAATGCTAGTTCGAGAGGGGTGAAGGAGATTGATGGGGCCATGTTCATCGTCCAATTTTGGGCTTGGGAGCATCTGCCATGGATCGCGCCGAAGGAAGACTCCGACAAGGAATGGAGACGCAACCATCCCCTACGACATGAAGCTTATGGTTTTAGGTAAACATCTTCGATCTCACTTATAGTTCTCACCTTTTTTTTACTAATTCAGTATTTTATAGTACAATTTTTAGTATGTATTAACATTGTGTAATTTTCCATATGAATAGGTGGCTTGGTGAAACAACATGCGAGAACCTAGTCAAGCATAAGCTGAAGGAGTATCATAGGAGGCTTGATCACCTTTAGGAAGCAGAGGTAACCATCATAATACACAATTAATTCCTTTTCTATTTTGGACTTGCTTTAGTATGTTTTTTGATGGTCCATTTGTTCTGCACCTTTGTAGATTAAGTTCGATCCGTGTCCTGACCGCATCATCACGCATCACATCCACTAGTTCTCGTTGCATCCCTGTCAATGGTGCACCTGAGTCCCACTAATCTGCCTCCATATAGTGGAGTGGCACTTGCCGGATCGATGCTTAAGACAATTTGAACGTGAGCAATACATACCATTAGAAGTCCCGACGAGTCAGAGGGGGTACCACGGGAAAGATGGTAGGCAAGGATCTACTAATTGGCCCAAGGAGTTTGAAGAATTTATCAAGTTGTGGAATATAGGCAAGATCAGGAGATTGTGACGGCACCAGCTGTGGAGCGGATGGGGTACCATGACCCATACATGGAAACATATCGAAGACAAGCCGTATGTTACATGATGCCCAAAAGTGCGGCGGACAGAGCTTTGGTAAGTAATTCCGTCATATTAATTCATTTATTTTGTTTGAGCATCAATTTTGTAATCATGCGTATCATTACTATTTAGATGGCTAACTTTGTTACTTTCTGCGGTTTAGGTTGATGGCATCGACCGTATTCACGATATCGTTCGTACTGCAGATTCTTTGGCGGGGCGAGAGGTGAGCCTCATTCGTAGGATAGCGAACAGTCTCCTTGCCTGTATGAGAGTGCACGCCCGTGACCATCATAGATACCCGCCAGTTCCCCCTGTGCCTACTCCTCGGGTGATGCATGATGTCCCCATCTCGCCCCCGCCGGTCCATAGAAGGATAAACAAGGCTACAATGGATTGACATCACGTGCCCGAGATCAAGCTGATTGTGGCGTGGAAGGTGCTTAATCCGTTGGAGGTGTGCCAAGGTGTAGGGTCGAGAACTCAGTACAACCCTTGGTTGAGTTTCAACTAATATCCCCGATCGAGTTTTCATTATGATCCGCGAGCGAGTGCTTTCTATGACCCCAATACTCAACATGAGCCCCGACCGCGTTGCCACTATGATTCTCGACCGAGTTTCCACTATGATCCCCGACTGAGTACATATCACGACGGCACATCCTCGACTACTTGGCACGATAGCTCATCCTCGAGTGCCCACCAAGACTTCTCACCTTTGCATCGACCACATCATCAATGGCAGACCACTCCCCACCGTATGAGCGTGGATGGGACTCGACCGCACACGGAGGAGCCACCTAGCATGGCACTGCGGCGGCATAGCATGGACCAACGCCCTTCCACGGCAAATCAGCCTCTTCCACCCTGTCTAACCACGTTACACCCGGTGGACCAGTCGCCCATAAAAAAGGAAACAGAGAGCGAATTGTCGAGCTAATGCATGAGTGTGACCCAATCATCGAGTTTTATTTAAGTTAAACATGTTGTGTTTATTTCAAGTTATGTTTTGTTTGAGTGATGTGTTTCATGTAGTAGTGTGTTTGTTTGAGTGATGTGTTTATTAAAAAAGTTGGAAGATTGCGTCAATTGTGGCAATTTTTCAAATATCAAATGCATTTAATCACAGAAAAACCAAGTACATAACCATAGAAATTAAAACAAATTGTGAACCATGTGAAAATTCATGAAAACAATCTATGCGCCGGTATCCTGGTTCACCAGATTGGGACTTGGGTTTTGAGGACCAATTGGTCTAGGACATTTTCGTTTATCATGCCCTGGTACTTTGCATATGGAATACCGCCTTGGCCCTCGTGGTAGTCTTCCACTTTGATCCATCTCATTTGGAATCCTTTTTACCTGTGGCCGACCTGCTGCACGCCTAAGTCCGATTGGTGGGATGATGACCTTTCCCTCATAGACTGGCCAGTAAGCTTCATCTGGCAAAGCACGAAAACTCCTTCCATAACTTCTCTTTTGTGAGTCGATGTTGAAGAATGGACTGACAAAATGACGAGGGTCTTTGCTCCTGTGCTTGATTACAACCATTGTATGGGAACAAGGTATACCTCTAACTTGATACTTTTGACAAGAGCACTCCCCTTTTCTGATCCTAATGTTCATAATGACTTCATGGCGATGACCCCCACGTCTCCCATCCTCCCAGTGCCTAGTCTCGACCGTATACTAGCTAGCATTTTGGTTCATAATAGTGACAGTGTGCCGAGGGCTCTTCCGATTATCTTTTTCCATTATTTCTGTGGCCTTATCGGAGTGTACCTTACTCTCTACCTCCCTCTTCTCATCCCAGTGGAGTCGATTGATGAACCATTGGTTCGTTTTCCACAATGTCATCTCAACAATTCCAGAGATGGGCAGTGCACGAACAACTAGCCCTGTAGACGTTGTTGATACCCTCGCTTGAGTTTGTTGTGGCAATACCCCACCTGGTACCTCAGTCCTTATGAAAATTTCACACGGTTAGGTCATGTTGATCAAGCCACTACACACCTTCAGGGCATAGCTGACGAATATTCTGCATCTTCTCTTTGAATTTCTTCTCTTGCTAGGCAACAACTTATGAATATACAAACAAAAGCGTATGGTAAGAGTATATCCATGTTGGTTGTTTTCAAAAGAATTTGAGCAATACAAGTACACTCGTAAGACTCTTAGGAGAGGTATACATCTCCTTAGAAACACAACCTTTTTGACAGAAAGGGGGGGGGGTCCAAGGATCGCTTAGAACCCGATTTTCCCAAGAAATGGAGGATCATGATGATCGCTTAAGACCCCATTTCCTTAGGCATGAATCTCTTTATAAAGAGTCTAAATAAGTGTTGTTGTGTATTGATTTAACATCTTTTTCCAGTTAACAAAATTATTACACCAATGAAATAGAACGCTTACCGGTCCATCGTAGACTATCAGCAAGCTTCTTCCGCTTGAAATGATGGTTCCAATTGCTCTTGAAGTGCCATATGCACCATCTCTGTGACCACTTCCAGGCTGGATGCAAGCCTAAGATGGCAGCCTTGATCCCTACTTGGCGATCAGAGATGATCGTTAGGTTCGTCCGCCTGGAGACGTGGAGTGAATTTGTCTGAAGAACCATCCATAGATGTCGGTATTCTCTCTCTCAACAATGACAACGACTACATATGCTTCGCTGGCGATCAATAGAGTACCCTTGTACTTGCCGGTAAGGAATGTTCCATCCACTTGAATCACAGGAACACAGAATGGAAACCATCAATACATGGCTTGAATGACCAGAAAAGACGCTTGAAATGGCGTTTGTTACCGGACTCTAGCGGCTGAATTTCTTCATCTTGGTAGCGGGGAGAGAAAACGGTGCCAAGGTTAGACCCCTACAATGCCATAATCAATATGGGAAGGAATGCATATGATTCTTCCCAGTCACCAAACACGGCGACCATTGCTTTTTTCTTTTCATGCCACGCCTTCTTTTAGTTAATAATATATCCATAACGACTAGAAATGTCTACAATGATGGTTTTAACCTTTAGGTCGGGCTGCTCCTCAATTAGATGCTTGATAGTTGCGAGTTGCGGCAACCGCCCTGGATTTCAACTGTCAATGGGATGTTATGGATGACACACATGTGTGAGTGTTCACCGCACGAGATATTACCCAATGGTCGACTCTCTTGCTCTTGATGGCCTGGACCCTACCCTTGCATCCCTCGTGTTGATTTTGGCATCTAACCATGAGCCCTTCGTGTCGGAGTGGGTTGTGTGCCATTCAAAACTCTGAGTCATTGTTTTAGTGGCAATAGCGTGCCGCACCTCATTCTTCGTTGCAAATTGTTAGCCCTTCGTAAAGCCAGTGAGTGGACGCCATACTGGCACCTCTGGCGGTTCCATGTTGGCATCAACATACCAATCTTCATTTAGAATGTGATTATAGTACGAGATAGGTACACGTTCGCGAGGCACCTCATCATCGTCTGCTTCTGAATCTGTGCCAGAATCATCAACACCTTCAAGAAGATCGAAGCTGTCTGCACTGACTTCGCCTTCCTCTTCTTCATCCTCGGGGTCACTAACTGGATTTGGATGGACATCTTCCATCTGATCAAGATCATGAAAGGCACCTTCATCAGCTCCGCAATGGTAGTGTGGTAACTACCGCCGCCTCGGTAGAAGTTGTACTCGGGTTGGTACTGGTAGCCTTCTTGTTGGTTCCCATGATACTGTTGAGCTTCTTCTTTATATGATGAGAAGGATTGATGATGACCTCCAGTTCCATCATGATACTCCTGGTATGAATGAGGTTCTTGGTACTCTTGGTGGGGATGCTCTTTGTAGAATCCACCCCCATCGTGAATACCAGATGTTTGGCGATCTCCAGAATGACCTACACCGCCTTCGACCGCCTCGGTGTAAACGAACATCTCCGCTTGTTTAATGTTATTGGTGGTCAAAAATTGAACCATGACATCAATGTCCTCCTGAGTGGTAATGAGGAATTCCTCATTCCACAATGACCCGCAATTTCTGTTTGGATATCGATACACCATACGATTGACTCTTCTCGTGCCATCCATGCAGGTAACCTCAGTACACATTTGATGGAGCTCTTCAATCATTGGTCTCGTAGCGACCTTAATTTTATAAAAATTGCCACCGATGTAACATACCCTCTTTTCGGTCTCTTCCATGTAACCATTCCACCGTAATCCAAGCGTGAACTTTTGGAATGTCATCTGCAATAAAACCGTAATTAAGTTATTACCATAAAAATCACAAATCACAATGAAAAGTAATACAAAACAAACTTACGAATAAATGTTAATCGCAAAAACTAAAAAAATGAAAGGTTCACAACTAAAATTTGAAGAAGAAGGAGAGGAGTGAAGATTTGAGTTTTCCGGGGTTGCCTTTTATAGGAAAATTTTCCACTGAAAACCGCATGGGTGGGAGCGGTTTTAGTCTAGCATGCAGCCCCCACCCCTGGGGAATGAGGATGAGGCACAAACCGCTAGGGGGTGCGGTTTGTGCATCGACCTAAAAAACCGCTTGCTTAAGGGGCGGTTTCTGTTGCCGACGAAGAACCGCACACCGAGTACGCGGTTTGTGTTAGGGCAGCCATGGGAACTGCTTCTTCCATGAGCGTTTTCCCCAAATAAAACAAGCCGTTTCTCCAGCATGCGGTTCCAAGAGAAACGTCATCTTTGTAGTGCGGTTTTCTATAACCCCCCCCCCCCCCTCCGTAGTGCGAATTTTAATTAAGGGTGGTAGATTTGGAATTTTTTCGGTTTGGATGGTAGTTTTGTAATTTTTTTAAAACAGTGGTAGTTTTGAATTTTTTCTTTGGAATGGTTGAGAGTAATACGTCTTGTTAAGTTTGACTTGTTCAACATGCAACTATTCTTTGATAAGGAAGGACAGGAAGTAACACTAGATGGACTATACAAGAGCATGGAAACTGTAAATTTATAACATGAAATGGGTTCTAGAAATTCTTCAAGCAGAAAGTACGCACATGGGATGTCCAATTGTGTATTTGTGTCTGCTGTAAAGGAGAGGGGTTTGTAACACACTGGACCAAATTGTAAGGAAATAGAAGATTGAGGTGGACATAATTGTGACACGGGAAAACTTATGGGTATCACTTTGTCATTTTCCTAACAGGTATACCATATATATTAACCCGGTCTACTGTGCTATCTGAAGAATAACTACTTTTCCCTCATTTTATCTCTCTCTCTATTCTATGCTCTCTTCTTCTTCTTCCTTCTCGAGACTACTTAGTCATCACCATTTTTGACCTCGTCGAGTTCTTTCCAAGCCGAGACATTACAAATAGCTCTCGTGAGCCGAACAAGTCTCGCCGACCAAGTTTTCACGACACCTTGACATGGATATCTTGCACAAGTTGTAATGATCAATGAACATTTAGCTATGATTAATTACATGTACAATCACTGGGAATGACAATGAGCAACTTGTTGGGTCTACATGACTGTTTAATTGGGGTCTACATGATTGTTTATACAAAAAATAATATCAGTCATCTCAATAACTACAACTCAATTACACCTTTAATGTAGGCGTTCCCACGTTTCTCTTAGTTTCATAGCAAAAAAATAAGGCAAAAAGTGTATTAGAATCATATATTCATTTTCTTTTGGGTATCCAATGATATATGCCCAATTTAGGTCCAACCTGAAAAATTGGGTATGTGACGGTCCAAAAGTAAAAGTACTAAAATCTGATTTGATACATAATATGTTGGGGTTGGGGAATTGCCAAATATTGAATTTTTTGCCATCTCTAACAATTAGGGGTGGCTATACGGTCCGGTCCGGTTAAATTGGACCAAATTGATCCGGTTCCAATCCGGTCTTTTCGGGAATATAAGGACCAAAGATTGGATTGGATACAGTCCGGTCTTGACCCGGTCCGGTCCCAATTTTATCTTGATTTTGATGTTGGGGGTCTCTTATCCGGTCTTTATCCGGTTTTTTTACCTCAAATCTAAGCCCGAATATGAGATTGCATTGTTTGCTATCCGGTCCAGTCCGGGTTATACGGTCCGGTTTCGAGTAAAACCAAACAGTCCGGGACCAAATAGCCAGCCCTACTAACAATCACGAGTTAGGATTAATAAGCATTGAAGTATTTATGTTGACTGTAATCAATTTGATTATAAATAATGACCAATCGAGGATTCTGATTCTTCAGAATATCTCACCTCATTTTGAACTTTTTTGCATTTGTTTATGTAAGCAATACGTTTTGAGTTAAAAATCCACTCAATTATTCAAGAAATATTGAATCTTGCTCAAACTTATCATAAAATTGTGTTGAAAGTTCTTAACATTTAGCATAACCAACTATATATCATTTTATTACCTAGTTTTGACGCATATCCTTAATAGAGGTGAATAAGTTAAGGTGAGTGATGTGGGAATTTTTTTTCTTCCCAGAACATAACTGTTAGTCTGTTACACGTGCTAGATACATATGCTTTTCCAATCCAATCTTTCATTCACCTTTATTAAACCCTTTCGATTTGTAAGTATATGATCAATACAACGCTCAAAAAGTCAGAATGTATTCTCTCATATGAAAATATCATCATAAAAGCAGCGCTCGAAACCGTCAATGTGATCCGACCTCAAGCAAATCGAAACCACAACCGACCCATCCCCATCCTGACTCACCGACAAAGTCGTGTCGCCGTCGAAATCAAACGTGGTATCCATCCGAACCTCCTTCCCGAACCCGAAATCCAAACCCAACATCGACAGCCTCAGCCAGCTAGTCACGTTCAGATTCGGGATCCCAAAAAATGGCTCCTCCTCCTCCTCATCACCTTGCTCGAAGAAGTCCTGAAACTTGGTCAGGTCAGGCTGGTTCTTCATGTACTCGATCGCCGACCACAGAAACTCGCTGTCCGCCTTCTCCTTCGCTTCCCTCACCCTCCCCGCCGCGTACCCTAAAGGCCTCGCCACGAGGTCGCCAGAAAGGCCCGTGGCTTTGACGTCGATGACGGCGTCACCGAAGTAACCGTCGGGGAGATGAGGGTCGACGCGCCTGCGCGCGTCGACGAAGACGCCCACCGCGGTCAGTTGGTTGGGTTTGAGTTTCCCCGCTTTGCAAGCGCACCGCCAGATGTGGGCGGTTAGGGTTTCGTACGTGGTGTAAGGACGAGTGGTTAGGGTTGAGCTCAGGTCCTTGTTCCCCATTTCCTTGAGGGTATGTACTTGGGTTTTCGTCAGCTTCAATCTCGTTGCTGCATTGCCGATTCCTGCAGCTGAGCAACGATGAAGCCATGCAAAATACGAATGAAGATTATATTATTAGTAGGGTAGTGTTGTTCTAGAGACAATTTCAGTTGCCACGTATCAGGTATTTTAAATCTCATTCTTGCCACCAAAGGGAGACAGATGCATAATGCACTCCATCGATCGAGTAATCCATTTGATCTATGGATTCACTAATCCAATCCACCAATCTATGGATAAATTCATTTGTCAAATAACAACAAATGGATAGGAAGAATGAGTACAGATAAATTAATAACGCATGGGTCAAATACAATGTTGAATTGTCACACATGCATCATATCCTATTTCCATTACTCTTGGTTGTTGCTTTGCCCCCTTGCCTATTTTATTATATGACAGTTAGATCCACATCGATCGACTCCAACAAATTGTTATTATCGATTCTTATTTTGTATTAAATTAATTTTTTATTTGGGTTTAGAAAATTGGAAATTGAATTTTATCCATTATCGATTCTTATACCTCTAACTTGATTTAATTTATGATACAAATAGAAAATATTACTAGAAGTACCATGACTATCGTATACTATAGAAGTCTGACCTATATATATATATATACATGCACATGGAATGGAATGGTATAAGAAAGCAAGGAAAAAAATAAGCAGAATGTTTGTGCTTTCTATTTTGTTAAAACAAGCAAGGAAAAAAATAAGCAAAAAGTGGGACGGATGCAATGCATAACCCACCTATGTATAATACTACACTTACCATTAATGGAAGGAAACTAATTTACTCCAATTAATTTAACCAAACTACATCTTTTACATTTTAAGTCGTAATTAATTTTTTCACAGATAAATCGGATTAATTATACACTTGAAAATAACATCAACCTTGAAATATTTTGAAACAAATATTGAGACATTTATTACCAGTCCATACCACGGTGGTAATGTTTGATAGTACATAAGATTACATCATATGGTATGAAAGTGCACCATTGTGATTATGAATATAACATAGTGTAGAATGATTATATACAAGATAGTAGAAATATAAAATATTTTCATTTATCAATTTTCATCACCATCTATCACCAGTTACCACTCGATTCCAAGATAATATAGGGTGGTATATTAGGTCATGAATCCCCCCCCCCCCCTAATTTTTTTATATCCAATAATAGATCACGACGAACTTTTTCCTTCTAGATAAAATTATTCAAAATTTGAGTAAAAACGAATCTGGTAGAGAGTGGCACGAAATTTTTCTTTCTCAAAATATATTAAAAATGAATATAATTTTGTAAATCTCAACGAACTTGTTCCATTTGTGCAAATTCGAAATCAGAATTAAGACAAAGAAAATAAAAATCAGTTAAAATATCAAAATAAAAAAAAAACTTTTAAATCCCACCGCCACTGGCTGCACTTACAATGAAGCGCACATATTTAACTAAGCATCCTATCTTACACCAAAAAAAGTGACTTGTGTACTTTATATCCTAAATTGAACGAGTTCCCAAATATCCCCCCGTGTCCTTTTAAAATATTTCCTAAATTTGACTATGCATGATGCACTCTATTCCTACCTACGTATACGCATGCATGCCTACCATTGTCGTTATCGTGCAGCAGCACCGGCGGGTGATCGAACTGGGCAGGATCAAACGCAGGCTTCCTAGCAAGCGGCGACTGCCCTCCTCTCAGAACCCTCCGATCGAAAACCGGCACCACCTCACCAACCCTTTCACCGCGGGCCACGCGGGCCCACTCGTGGAAGAAGACCATGGCTGCCAGGCCGTCGGCCACCGGGTGACACATGTTGAAGCCAAGGCAGAACCCGCCGCACCCGAACCTGGTGAGCTGGACCAGCAGCAGCGGCCACTCTCCGATCGGAACACTGCCGTAGTCCACCGCCAGGACCAGCGGCATGAATTCGGCACCGCTGGGGCGAGGCTTCTTACCGGACACGTCAGCACCAACGAACCACGACGACAGCTCATCCAGCGACGTCGTTTCGGCTTCCGCCTCGATGAACTGGGCCCCACTGCCGTTGCAGTTCAGCTCCAGCCTGCCGCCGCCTTTGGGGTGCAGCCGGCCAGCCAGCG